ACACACACACACACACACACACACACACACACACACACACACACACACACACACACACACACACACACACAGGTTCACCTCCATCACTTGGACAGCAGCTTGTTGTTGTTGTTGTTTACTCCCTCAGCTGATCATGAAAACACCTGTCCGTCATGTGACACTAAGCGAGTGATCTGATTGGCTCCTGAATTCAAACAGCTGTAAATCTGTCAGGATGTTTGTTTAAACTGAAGTTTGGGGAAAGAGAACRACCACATGAAGAACTAAAAGGCAGAAGAAGAAAATCCTGAGAGCAGCTCTCCTCCTCAGACTCTTCCACCTGCTCCCTACCCTCACTACAGACGTCTGCAAACATCCCTGTCCACGAGGACACCTGTCAGCTGCCCACCTGTCCATCAGCACTGAACCTGCGGCACATCCCACCTGTGTGCCCTCCCCTCAGCCTCTGCAGGACTGATCATCAAAGAATCTGTTCAACCCTCTGAGTTTGTGAGGCGAGGTGAAGCAGGCCAGTGTGAGCTCATGGTTCTGGATGGTTCTGGAAGCAGGAGTGTGTTTACAGTCACAACAGGAGAGCCTGATCCTTCCTGTCGTTTACTCCGTTTGTCCTGAGCTGTAACAGGAAGCTGACCGTAGACAGGCTGTCCACTCAGCCTCTCATCATCATCACATTCCTGCTGGACTCTCCTCTGAGTCACATGATGTCAGTGAACTGTGATTGGCTGATGGACGAGCGTTTTCACTCACCCTCGCTCCTTTTGCCGGGAAACACCGACAGGTGGTGCAGTCCCGCCCCCCGCACAGCTCCGTCAGGTCGCCCTGGAAACCAGGAGAAGACAAACATCAGTGTGATGTCACGCATGTCAACATTTTAACAGGAAGTCTGCTGGCCCAAAGACTGAAACCAAACCACAAAACAGATTAAAATGAAGGAATCATCTGAGGATTTAATCTGCATCAGCAGGAGGACAGTTTTACTGTGGAGTTCTCTGTGACAGGGCTTCTTCACCTTTCTGACCTCAGGGCCACACATAAAGAGACACGAGGCCCAGGCACACATTAATGTACAYATCAGAATGATAATTATTATAAATCCTGGTTTAACTTCTATTGTATTTAGATTATAACTAAATTAAATACAGTTTAAAAGTAAAACTCCTGTCAAATAATCACAAGACATGATTATAACAAACATGTTTTATATTGTAACCTGACCATAACTGTCAACAGACCACTCAGGCTTATCAACACTGAAATATAGATNTTGGTTCAGACAGGAAGTAGCTGTTGGTTCAGACAGGAAGTAGCTGTTGGTTCAGACAGGAAGTAGCTGTTGGTTCAGACAGGAAGTAGCTGTTGTTCCAGACAGGAAGTAGCTGTTGTTCCAGACAGGAAGTGGCTGGTCCTGGTCCTGACATGCAGACAGAACCAGTGTGTAAATCCTGAACGTGTTCTGGTCTCAGGAGGTGGAGACGGTTGTGAAAGCCTCGGTGATGACTCCTAACACCGGCGGTCCGATCCACATGGTTCTGGGAATCACGCAGGCGGGTCCAGATAATCCAGCTCGATCCATCCCCCAGGAAGATGCAGGTTCAGTGGGAGGAGGAGGTGAGTGGTCCTGAGGGGTTTCACAGGTTGGATCTATCAGAACTTTGGATCTTCAGGATCCTGGGCTCAGGTAGGCTTTCTSTTGGTACCAGAACCTTTGTCTGGTCACAGGAATCAAAGATCCTGTTGGTCTGACGCAAACGTGGACCCTACCCCTGGCTCACTGAAGGTTTCTCTGTTCCTCAGATCAGACCACCCCATGGACTCCCAACAGCACCACCTGGGTCGAGCCTGAAGCTCCACCGGACAGAACCTTTGTCATCAGAACTGAGAACGCTCTCAAACACACATTTCTGTCTAAAACGGTACCAACATGTGTCCGTCAGACCGGTGGGGGCCGGTACCTGAGCCCAGACTAACCTGTGGACTCCTTCCAGGTGATCCGGCCCGAGACCTGCACCCCCTGTGGGAAGAGGGTCCGCTTTGGCAGGGTGGCAGTGAAGTGCAGGAACTGTCGTGTTGTTGCTCATCCTGAGTGCAAACAGAAGCTGTCGGACCACTGCTCAGCCTCCAACACCCCCACAGGAAGTCAGACTCAGGTGAGATCTGGACCCTTCTGGTCCTGCAGGACCGGACTGATCAAAGACTGAAGCTCTGCTTCTCTGCAGGACACCCTGGAAGCCTTCGCTCCGCCCACTCATCCCAGAGTTCCTCAGCTGGTGGTGGACTGTGTGGCCGAGATCGAGAGGAGGGGTCTGCAGGAGGTGAGGGGGGTCTGCAGGAGGTGAGGGGGGTCTGCAGGAGGTGGGGAAGGTCTGCAGGAGGTGAGGGGGGGTCTGCAGGTAGATTTCTTGCTTGTTGACTTTAAGACCACCAGCAGCAGAAAGTTGTTCTGGTGGTCCGGCAGTGGGGGGTTTAGGACATCGGAGCCAAGCAGAGTCAGGTCCTCCAGATTCTGGAGGTTTGGATGTTCTGAGTTTGACCAGCTGTCCCCTTATTGAACTTGTGTCCTGTCAGAGGACATCTGTCTCCTGGTGTCTCACCTGTCTGTCTCCTGGTGTCTCACCTGTCCGTCTCCTGGTGTCTCACCTGTCCGTCTCCTGGTGTCTCACCTGTCCGTCTCCTGGTGTCTCACCTGTCTGTCTCCTGGTGTCTCCTGGTGTCTCACCTGTCTGTCTCCTGGTGTCTCACCTGTCTGTCTCCTGGTGTCTCACCTGTCTGTCTCCTGGTGTCTCACCTGTCTGTCTCCTGGTGTCTCACCTGTCTGTCCCCTGGTGTCTCACCTGTCTGTCCCCTGGTGTCTCACCTGTCTGTCCCCTGGTGTCTCACTTGTCTGTCCCCTGGTGTCTCACCTGTTCGTCCCCTGGTGTCTCACCTGCCTGTCTCCTGGTGTCTCCTGGTGTCTCACCTGTCTGTCCCCTGGTGTCTCACTTGTCTGTCCCCTGGTGTCTCACCTGTCTGTCCCCTGGTGTCTCACCTGTCTGTCCTCTGGTGTCTCACCTGTCTGTCCCCTGGTGTCTCTTGGTGTCTCACCTGTCTGTCCCCTGGTGTCTCCTGGTGTCTCACCTGTCTGTCTCCTGGTGTCTCACCTGTCTGTCTCCTGGTGTCTCACCTGTCTGTCCCCTGGTGTCTCCTGGTGTCTCACCTGTCTGTCCCCTGGTGTCTCTTGGTGTCTCACCTGTCTGTCCCCTGGTGTCTCCTGGTGTCTCACCTGTCTGTCTCCTGGTGTCTCACCTGTCTGTCTCCTGGTGTCTCTCCTGGTGTCTCACCTGTCTGTCTCCTGGTGTCTCACCTGTCTGTCTCCTGGTGTCTCTCCTGGTGTCTCAC